CATGCGCAGCTACCACCTATCGTCAGTGAAGGCTTGTGTATTGCTATGATGCTGAACAGGTGTCAGTGGAGCCTCCAGACTAGAAGAAAGGCTTAGAAATTTACTTCCAAAAATAATCAGCCACTGAAAACCCTGTGGAGCACAGTTCTACTCAGACATACACGTCAGCTGGTTGGTTGCTTGTCCAGGTAGTTCTGACGCGTGCTAAAGTTCGAGAACTACTGGTATGGACAATATTTCCTTTGAAGCAGTGATCTTCAGTACTCTTTTGCTCTAGCAAATATAAAGTTGAAAATAGCCCAGGTTTATTTCTTTCCTCTCTGGTCAGGGGGTTGGTTAGCTAATGACTGAGTCCGTATGGCTAATAGGTTTTATAATGAATTTCAATGAGTTACATGAGCATACTTTTGGGCCTCCTGATGCGATTTTTAATTGACACATCAAATTCATCTTTAAAATATGAAAAGGGACATCACTATGCATCTCTGAAACAAAAGAGTAATTACACTGAATTAAATGTTTACTAAAGTATGTACATTTTTAAGAGAGGTGTAATTATGTTCCTGATTCCTTGGCCATATTCATCCTGGACATACGTGAAATGTACTCTTACCGGGAAGCTCACCATGCTGAAATGAGTCAGGAGCGTTCAATCCTTTTTTGAGAAATATCAATAAAAATAGCCTTATTATTATACCTAACTGGTCTGCTTTGTGATCAGCAGAATGGGAGAATGTAGCTGAACAAACAAATCCCCTCTTTTTCCCAAGTGTTTTAATTATGGCTAACTCTGAGAAATTGAAGTACTGTCAATAGGTCAGCAGGCCTATGGATAACTATGGGTTCTACACTATTCAAGGTGGTCGTGTCAATGCGATACTGTGAAGGCATAATGTCTCTTCTGCTTACACAGCACAGTCATAATTCTAAATCAATGACTACAATACAAATTCTGTAGAATTTCATAACAAATATCTTATGACTTCTGGAAGAGAAATTAAGTTTTGGGTGATCTGATTTTCTTTTTCATGTCCTTGCGCAAATCAGATTGCAGATCAAGGAAATACAACCAAGTCCTTTCCATAGGCTGTAGTAGTATGTTTACATTATAAAACAAATAAAGATTAGGCATTTACTTACAATTGATGCATACCGAGTTATATTCATGAAGTAAATAAGCTATTAAAATAAGCTAAAATGCATTTGTTTTACATTTGAGCTTTTTGAGTTATTACAAGATAATAAAGCAGTCATTCACTGATGAATGAAAATTATGACACGGCATCCTGATCATCATTTGGCTGTTACTGTGTTATAAAAGGACAGGTAATACAGTATGGAGATTGTGGTATAAAATAATTTAACTTCTAGCTCAAGTCAGTCGGTAACATTGGTTGATAATTTTACCTGCTTTAGCATAGTGATTCCCAAAACTGTATGGACCTAAAAACATCTTTTTAAAAAACAGATTCTCAGTGTCTCATTCTTAAAGGTTACTTTTATTTTATGGCTTGTGTGACCCATTTATTGACTTTTTGTTCTCTAGAGGAGTCAGGGTTATTTTGCCAAAATATACTCTTAATTTGTAGGCAAGGAAGTGTTTTGGAAAGTCACCTTATAAGAGAAGAAATTTAGTGGTTTGCTTTACCGCTTTGAGTGTAAGCAGGCACTGGAAAATAACTGCACAAAGAATATCGTGTGTGCAGTCATTAACAGTGATTGCCCCAGTGACCGCTTTTGGAGCCAACAATGTCAACAACATTGCCCCCAAATTGTCATAGTATTAGGCAATGTTTCCAGCTTGGGCTCCAAACAGAGAGTGAATCTTTCCACCAAAAGTGTTTTAGTGACTCCTTCTGTGTCCAAAGAGCAGAGAGGCTGATCTGCAAAGAAAGAGCAGTTGCCCAAACTCAGTGGTTGGGTTAGAGCAGCAGAGAGCTGCAGCAACATGCAGCCATGCCTGCAAGCGGCATTAGAAGCAAGCAACGTTGGTAGAAGCCAGTCATTGAACACATGGCATTAAAACTATTCTGAGCAAGTGTACAAGCAATGATTTGCTAATTAGGTCTTTGTAGCAAGAAGTGCATGTCCCTAGACAGATACTGGGGGACAAAATAGTAACAAATACCTAAAAGAAGAATAAGATCTAGGCCAGAAAGTTTCTCTTAGCAATACCAGTCAAGGTTTTATAACCAGTACCACTATGAGGAAGAAACTGGGAATTGGCATTCCAACCCAAAACCTGTTGGCATCGAGTCAATTCCAGTGTATAACGACCCTATAGGACAGAGTAAAACTGCCCCCATAGGGTTTCAAAGGCTGTAAATCTTTACAGAAGCAGACTGCCACATCTTTCTCTCACAGAGCAGCTGGTGGGTTTGAACCGCTGACCTTTCGGTTAGCAGCCGAGTGCTTTAACCTTTGCACCACCAGGGCTCCTTGGAATTGGCATTAGTACATATTATAACCTTCAAAGGCCATTGAACACGTCTCTATCAAATGCTGTATATACTTTTCATATCAAAGGGTAAATTCTATCATTCTCAACAAAGTCCTTTTTCATCTTTATAAAAGCTCCCAGTTAAGGACCCCACTTAAATACTGCCATGTAAATAGATAATAGAATAAGAAGGCCTCCGTATGACTAGTATGTTGAGATTCTGATGCCTACAGGAGTCTGCATGTAGCAACCAGCAACCCTAACATAATTCTGTGTTAATGAAGCTTAATTCCATCTGGGAGGCTGCATGCTGCACTCAGACTTGGGTTACTTGGGATCAGGTCTGGCTTCCTCCTGACATTCCATCAATCCCTATGCCAATGCTGACTGGGCCCGCCTAAAGACTGCTTTCAGCAACAGAAGATAGGAGTCTAAAATGGAAGAGAATAAAAGGAAAGAAACTCTGCATATAAGGACAGGCAGGAGGGTATAGAAGAGGGCAGAGAGGGAGAGGCGGAAATGGAGGGAAAATACTTGCGTGAAGGAAAAAAAGTTAACTAGGGTCAGTGCTATCCCTCTAGCAAGTTACACTGTTAGAAGCTAGGCATTCATTTAATTTATTTGATTTTTTCCCTTTAAAGTACGCATGAAGGGTTTAGCAAATAAGATAACGTCAAAAGGGATGGAGAGAGAAGGTACCAAGTACAGCATTTCTGCCTTCATTATTTCCTCCAGTAAGAAGAGTTCTGTAATTTAGCCATATATTTTTGAAACCAAATTTGTAATGTGAAACCTGTACATTTCAAATTGGCAATTGTATCTGAAATAGGAAGTCTATTTTTGTTTTGTTAGGTAGCAGGCAGCTTGGCCCACAGTCTCCTTTAAGTACAGGTCTGATTTATCTCGTTGGCATGTCTTGTCTTATTTTCCTGGTTAATATTCAGTTCTGTGGCATACTATACACATTATAGTTCAACCACAGAGTAATAATGAGATAGTAGTAGCAACAGGAGAAAGTTCTGGAAATACGGCACTTGAAGTATAACTTCATCCTTAAGTGATTTGTGGTCTTTAAAATTCACTGAAAGATGATAGGATTTTCCACAAGAAATCGGTAACTTCTTCAAGACTTTTCCAAACAGTAAGTGGAATTAAAGTCTGACCCTAAAACATCACCGAGACTAAAGAGGGAATCTCACAGTTCCATTCCCAACTGCTTATGCTCACCTAATTCATCAGAAAAATTCTAAAAACGAGATTGATGCCCTCAAACCTTGCAAAAAGCATGAACACGCTCTGGGGAACGGAGCCCTATTTTATACAAATTAAACTGAGACTGCAGGCGAAGCACAGCTCATAAAAGCTCATTTTGTAAGTTTTGTACCATCACACATGTATTTAGTGCTTTCTCATCTGTCGGATGCTAAGTCCAGTTTTCAAAAGACTGGTTCCAGGAAAAGGAAATAGGCACTGAGGGGAAACGTGTAAACATCTCTTTGGGGTTAAAAGCAACATCACATGTGAAGAGGCCAAAAATCGTAAAAGAAGCACGTGCTGCCTTATACATTTAGAAATAAAAGGGGCCTTGGCTCCGAAATCCAGCCTAGCTTTCTGTACATCGCATACACTTACCACAGTAAGCAACAATGTAAGTAAATCTCAAATCAGGAATAGTACCACATTCTTGACATAGCTGCCCTGGAGATCAGGGTTTTACCGGGACGGGATGGTGGGAAACGGTGGGCTGGGGTTTGCTGGGAGATCCTCCGCCTCTGCACCGTCCCCAGCTCTCAGTTCCCCAGGGGTTCGCCCGGGTTTGTGAAAGGAGAGACCTGAGGCGGCAGGAGGACGCAGATGCACAGCTACTGTTTCACTGCCTGCCTGATGCAAACAGGCAAATGGGAGTAAGTAGAAGTGCAATGGTCTTTAGGTTTAGGGGTTAAAAAAGGAAAACGAAAAACAGGCAGGAAAAGGATAAGATGCTTACTATCACAAACCTCATAAAAGAATCTTTCTCCTTCCTTCTTCTGCTCATGGAATTGCAAGTCAAAGATGTAGGACAAAAACATGACACATTACAGGCACAGTGTACAGCACATTGTTGACGAGATTTTTTAGACGTGAACAACAAAACCATGGATACACCAAAAACCACTAGCACCACAAAGCATATTTCAAAACAAACATCAATATCAAGCTGGCGTTATACGAATATAGCAACAAACACCCACAATTTATAGAACATTACAGATCATTACATGGGTATTTAATTGTGTATACATGAATATATCTATACACCCATAGATTTATCTATAGACACATACACATAACAAAAGGCCACTGACTATCTCCTTCCCCCACTCACACTTCTAAAGTATTCGCAATTCTGATACGGATAATATCACCTTAGTTTTTAATGGGATTTCAGGTTATTATCATTGCCTGTTCATAGCTAAAGCATGTGAAAACTTAATTAAGACACTTCCCGTTGCAAACAGATACGCTGCTAATGATCTCCAAGTAGGTGTTTAGCAAATGCAAAGGGTAAAAATATACCCACCTCTTTCCCTCCCATGGATTCAAACATTTTTTCCAGCTGGACTCGCAGTTGTTGAATATTATTCATCAAGATACAGGGCTTTAAATAGAGCAGAGAGACAGAAAAGGAGAAAGGTGTGAGAAATTTTATATGTGAATTATTAAATGAGCTTTACTTAAAAGTGGTAGCATACAGCTATTATTAAAGTCCTGTTGCATTTGGCAAATATAATCATTCTGCTATTCAACATTATTGTTTTTACGGTAAGAACAACCAAAAACCAAAACTGGCTGCTGTCGAGCCAATTCTGACTCATAGTGACCCTATTGGACAGAGTGGAACTGCCCCACAGGGTTTCCAAGGAGCGCCTGGTGGATTCCAACTGTCTACCTTTTTGGTTAGCAGCCGAGCTCTTAACCACTGTGCCACCAGGGGTCCAGAGTTAAGAATACCTTTTGTCGTCAAGTCAATTCCGACTCATAGCGATCCTATAGGACTGAGCAGAACTGCCCCACAGACAGAAGAGGGTAGTGTCATGGCCACTTTGGGGAATGAAATTTAATAACATACTCGAACAATAAACCATACCACACTTGCTACCAAGTTTCTTTTATTCTTAACACGGTGGCGTTTCATACTTAGAAGTTAACCAAATTTTCTTTTTAAAGATCCATTTTAGGAAAACCAGATTAGTTTAAATTCTTCATTATTGCACTGAACTTTAAAAATCGGAAAAAAACAAAACAGAACACAAACACCTGTAGTTGCTCCAACTCCCTCTACTGCCGACGGTAACTCTGCAGCTGAGGTTCCAAGCAGCTTGTTCCCCAAACCCATCGGTGCCTTCCAGCCTGCCCTGGCTCACCATGTGAACGCCTCACCTGAATCACTTCCTCTGCCTGTTTGAATCAGGTCCCTCATGCAGGGCAGAGCCCTGTCTTTCTTAGCCTTTAGCCTTCTATCGCTCACTTGGTGTTTGCTTTCCATCACTTTGTATTTGAGGGTTGTTTTCACTCCCTTATCAGCCGACCTTTAATGCCCTGCACACGCTCTGCGTCTTCTGCTGTTTCTTACTCAGACTACCGCACAGTGTCTTCCACTAGCACACGCTTGAAAAATGTTTCTTGTTGTTTTCAAAGAGGAAGAAATATAACAGTAACAAAGATATAAAGCTTTGTGACAGGACTGGATGTGAACTTAGAATAAAACCCACTGCCACTGAGTTGATTCCGACACATAGCAACCCCATAGGGTTTCCAAGGCTGTAAATCTCTGCGGAAGCAGACTGCCACATCTTTCTCCTGTGGAGATGCTGGTGGTTTTGGACTGCTAACCTTTTGGATTCGGTTAGCAATCGCTCACTTTAACCACTGCATCACCAGGCTCTTTGAACCTAGAATAGTAGGAATTGATTTATAACTGAAAAATAGAATTCAGAATAGTTATAGAATCATTTGATATTTGCTGCATATTGATTGCAAAGGATCAGATGAAGGGGGGTGGATATGAAGACAAAGGAAGGAAAATAGATACATCTTCCAAGTTCCTGGGAAATGAGCCAGCAATGAATTAGAGAGAAGCATACAAAGGATGTATTGTAGGTCAGGGAGGTGTTAGCTCTGATCAGTGGAAAGATTTTATCATTGTGTGAACCACATCATTGACCTTTGAAAAACTTTCTACTTGCCTCTTAAAGTGACCCTATCCTAACTTCAATGTAAAAAAAAAAAAAAAAAATTCTTTTCTGTTCTCTTGATTCCAGACACTTAAATGTTCTTTTATTATTATCAATATCCACTTTTGTTTCTTCTTTCATATGAGATAGCCTTCCATTTCTGTTTAAGAAATCATGTAACAGGCTAGTGGCTTCTTGAGGCCCGTTTGTAGTGAAGCTCTGGAGCCCTTTATCCAGTGCCAGATCTCTTTTCATCGGGGTCTTGCTCTTACTGGTACCCAAGGTGAAAGTTCCTTAATTTTCCTAATTTGTTTTGAGTTAATTGTAGATTCTTATGCAATTATTAGAAATAATACAGAGAGATCCCATGTACCCTTTACCCAGTTTTTCAGTTTTCCCCAATGGCAACATCTTGCAAAACTGTAGTACAATATCACAACCAGAATACTGACGTTGGTACAGGTAAAATACAGAGCATCTCCATCACCTCTAGGGTCCTTCTCCTTGCTGTTTATAGCCACACCCCCTTTCCTCCCTGGTCCGTCCCCTCCTTATGCCCTGGAAACCATTCATCTCTTCTCCATCTTTATAGTTTTGTCATTTCAAAATGTTACATAAATGGAGTAGTACAGTATGTAACCTTCAGGGATTGGTTTTTTTTAATCAGCAAAATTCTCTGGAGAGTCAGCATGGTTGTTGTGTATATTAAAGTCTATTCTTTTTATTGCTGAGACGTATCCCACGGAATGAACATACCACGGTTTGCTTAACCATTCCCTCGTTGAGGCACATCTGGGTTGTTTTAGGTTTTGGTTATTACAAATATAACACCCACAGACATTCATTTATAGGTTTTTGTGTGAACGTAAGTCTTCATTTCTCTGGGATACACCCCCAGGGTTGCACTTGCTGTTTAGTACTGCATGTTATAGCATGGTAATTGCACGGTTAGCTTTTTAAAAAACTGTCAAAATGTTTTCCAGAATGATGGTTGGACTACTTACATGTCCACCAGTGATGCATAAGTGATTTCTGTTCTCCACATCCTCGTCAGCATTTGGTATTGTCACTATTGTTTATTTTCGACATTCTGATAGGTAGGCAGTGATATCACATTGTGGTTTTAATTTGCACTTCCCAAATGGCTAATGATGTTCAATGTCTCTTCATGTGCTTATTTGCCACCTGTATAACCTCTTTAGTTGATTGCCTCCTCATGGTGTTTTTGATAATTTTATAATTGATTTTTTTGTTTTTACTATTGAGTGTTGAGAGTTCTTTATATGTTCTAGAGACCAGTGCTTTGTCAGATATGTAGTTTGAAAATACTTTTTCCCCATCTTTGAACTTGTTTTTCCATCCTCTTAACAGCATATTTCATACCGCAGAAGTTTTAAATTTTGATGAAGTCCTATTTATCATTTTTATTTTTACTTTTTTGGAGCATGTTTGAATGTCAAGTCTCAGAATTCTTTGCCTAGCTCTTTTGATGTTTCCTATGCCATTCAATACTTTGCCCATAGAATCCTTCAAAATCGCAACTTGAGGCTTGAATTTTTTCTTCAGTTATTCCAGCTTGAGAAATGCCGAGCGTGTTCTTCCCTTTTGGTTTTCTAACTCCAGGTCTTTACATATTTCATTATAATACTTTCCTTTGTCTTCTCGAGCCCCCTGGAAATCTTCTGTTCAGCTCTTTTATCTCATCATTTCTACCGTTCGATTTAGCTACTCGACGTTCAAGAGCAAGTTTCAGAGTCTCTTCTGCCATCCATTTTGTTTTCTTCTTTTGGCAGTTGCAGACAGTATTATATTTTAAAATTTGATGTCCACGTGTTTATTGTTAGTATGCAAAAATGCAGTTGATTTTTATGTTTATCTTTAGAGACTCATTTATTAGTTTTAGGATTTTTTTTTGTAAAGACCTTAGATTTTCTACATAAGCAATCATGTCATCTGCAAAGAGGGACAGTTTTATTTCTTCCTTTCCACTCTGTATGCATTTTTACTTCCTTTTCTTGCCTCACTGCACTAGTTAGAACTTCTAGCACTATGTTGAATAAGAGTAGGGAGTATGGTCATACTTGCCTTGTTCCTGATCTTTAGGGGAAAACATTCAGTTTTTCACCATTAGTTAAAAAGTTAGCTGTAGGTTTATTGTAGATAACTTTCTTTATCACATTGAGGAATTTATCTCTATTCCTATTTTTTCTGTGAGTGCTTATCACAAAAGAAAGTTAAATTTTGTCAAATCTCCTTTTCTTCCTCTATTGACATGATCATATGATTTTTCTTCTATACCCTGTTAATATGGTAGATTACTTTGGCAGATTTTCTAATATTGAAGCAGTCTTATATCCTCGAAATAAATCCTATTTTGTCATAGTGTATAACTCTTTGTATATATTGCTAAATTCTAATTGCTAATTTTTTGAGCCCTGGTGGTGTAGTGGTTAAGAGTTCAGCTGCTAACCAAAAGGTTGGCAGTTCAAATCCACCAGCTGCTCCTTGGAAACCCTATGGGGCAGTTCTACTCTGTCCTGTAGGGCTGCTATGAGCTGGGAATCAACTTGACAGCACCTAACACCAACACCAACAACAACAATTTTTTGTTAGGGATTTTTGCATATATATTCAATGAGGGATGTTGGTCTGTAGTTTTCTTTCTTTTTCTTTTGTACTGTCTTTGTCTAATATCAGGGTAATATTAGCTACATAGACTGAGAACACTTGTTCTTTCCTCTTCTGTGTTCTGGAAGAGATTGTGTAGAATTGGTGTTAGTTTCTTTATATGTTTGGTAGAATTCTCCAGTGACACCATCTGGACCTAGAGATTGTTTTTTTTTAAAAAATTATAAATTTAATTTACTTGATAATTATAACAATATTCAAATTATCTATTTTATATTGGATTAGTTGTGGTAGCTTCTCTTTTTCAAGGAATTGGTCTATTACTCCTAAGTTGTCAAATTTAGTTATGTAGAATTGTTGATAGTATTCTCTTATTATCCTTAAGATGTCTGTAGGGTTTGCAGTGATATTCACAAGCTTTATATATTCAAAGCCTTTCATACACTTCCAATGTTCCATCATGGTTGAGAACCACTGCTTAGAAGGATAATCCATATTTTAGTAATATATTTGTCATTGGTGAAATTAATCCTAAATATTAATTTCAAATGTAGTATGAAAGTGAGGTCAGAATTCACTTTCTTTCAAGTTATACATGGAACCAATGAATGAAGATGATGCCATGAGCCAGAAATAGTTCTCAAAAATTCAGACGAACATGTAGGATTTGTTGTTGTGTGCCATCGAGTTGAATCCAACTCATAGCGACCACATGTGAGAGAGTAGAACTGCCTCATAGGGTTATCTAGGTTATAATCTTTACAGGAGCAGATTTCCATGTCTTTCTCCTGCAGAGCCACTGGGTGGGTTTGAACCATCAACCTTTTGGTTAGCAGCCGAGCACTTGACGATCGCACCACCAGGGCTCCTTAACATGTAGGATAGTGGTGTTCTTTAAGTGGAAAGGTAGGATCAAAATGAGCCCTATTCTGAATTTGAACTAATTTACCTGAATTAAACTAAAATGGTGATGGGAGGTTATGGATTGCGTTATATTAAAATAAACAAACTTCACTTTTAATATTTGCTCATTTTCCAAAGGTATACATGTCGCAGAAACATTGCAATTTATTCCGCAAACTTAGTAATTTCTGCCTAGTGACAACTGAAGCCAAACTGTAGTTGCAAGACAGATCGATATGGAGATCTTTCTCTTAGCGTCTATTTTTATAGGCAACTTGATTTTCAGAGTTACCCTGTGTTATTCTTTTATCTATAATGGTAGTTAAATCAAGGTCTCCTTCAATAACTGCAGTCATTTATAAGTTCCTAGGTCATAATCCTACGGGGCAAGACAATTGACAATATCACTTCATGCACAGTTTATCATAACAGCTCCTTACTTCATCAGATTGAAGTATTCTCACTGTGTTTGAAGGCTATAATCCTATTTATATCACCACGCACAACCCAATTTTTCTTTCATAGGTCCTAGCTAATCCTGATCACCTATGTGAAAATTACCCATGGTGCATGATATAGTCATGAGGTATGTACCAGGAAGATGTTCCTTTCAAACTAATCTGGGTCTGGTTACACATCAGAATCACCTGTGATGTATTTTTAGCACATATAGCTGAGATTTATCCTCCTTAATTCTGATTCAGCAGCTGAATCAGAACGTTCCATAATGATTCTGATCCCCAGCCACTGATCTAGGCTTAGTCCTTTTCATAGCATGCACGACCAGACTTTTAGGGGATTCCCCCGATTGCCCCATAGTCAATTTCCTGAGTCAGTGGGCTGTTTCCACTATGGAACAGGATCATTGGGATTTTTTTTTTTTTCCTTTGCAGAGGGGGAGATTCGGCTTGAATTTGGGCAATCTCATTAAGGAGAAAATTAAGGTCAAAGTAAGACCACGACTTTTGATTAGTAGAAGATAGACTTCTTGGGTAAAGGGTTTCATCACTTGCTCCCCTGGGCTCCAGTTAGCTGGGCAGACTCTTTATTAGCACATGTAACAGGACACCGGTAGCAGCTTCATAAATAAAGGGCTGTCACCAAGCCTTCTTAATGTGATCTTCTTTCATGGAAAAGAGCTACTGAGACTAAACGAACACAGACCGTTGGGCTCACTTGGCATGGACTGCTCTTGCTCCCTGATAATTCTACGTAGGGAAAAAAACAACAAAAAAGATGCAGTTACCCAGTGGGAGATAAAAATAAAGATGCAACTCTCCCCTTTCATTGAGCTTTCCCGGGCCTTGAAATGTTCAAATTTTAATCTTATTCAATAAATTTAACAAATCACTGCTGAGAACTGGATTACACAGATCTTCCTTAAACCTAGTCACGAAACATGTTTTACTTTAAGCATTTCTATAATAAATTAAAAACCACCACACACACACACGCAGTAAAGAAAACATTAACCTAATGGAGGTATTGTTGATGAATTTCATAAGATGAAATTGTTTGCAGTCAAGCTGTAATCTTTTTCTATTTTTACTTTTCCCCTAAAAACATCATAATGCATTTCATTTGATCTAAATCTGGAACAAAATTAGAAATCTGACCTATGATGAATATAAAAGTTAGTTTTGTTCAGACTGCGGCCATATTTACATGGCTGAAGTTATGCTTCTGAGCCAAAAAACATAAAAAGAATTATTCAAAATCAAGTGATTCTTTGCTTTGCTATATTTTTGGAATGTGGGAAAAATTGGAGTAAAAATTTCTTATCCATTTCCAATTATAAATGTCACAGTAGAAAAAAACTATTCTGCCACATTTTGTTTAACTGTTGCCTTTAATAATTCTGACCACTGGGAAATCAAATGTTATGATCATCTGTTAAATGATGTCTTTAAAAGTTTCTAGCTAAATTTGCAGATAAAATATGTATATTTCCATACACTGAGAAAAGAAAAAAAAGGTTTCAATCTTCTTGGTATTGAAACATATCTGTAACAATAGTCATATGAACACACATGAATCAGAGGAACGCCTCTTCATTTTGTCTTAACTGAAATACATACCAAGCAGCTAATCTGGCATTGGAGTGACAGAGTCTAAGGTGGATCAAGATACCAGTAATTAGGGAAGAGAAGCACTGAGGAAAGGAAAAATTAGTTCCTGTGCTGTAATATTTGCCAGAGCTTTTTGTTTTCGTTTTAAAATTTTGATTGTGGAAAGTAAAAAAATATACAGAAAAAAATAGACAGAATAACATAATAAACTGATTTAGGATTTTTTATCTGTTTTTAAAAATATAGAATGTAACACATGAAGTGGAAGTCTGTAGGGTCTTTTTAAAGACTAAGCTTCCTTTCTGAATGACAGGAATCAGCCTTGGTAATTCATAGCCACCCTTCAAAATCTTCAATTTGGCTATCCTAATATCATCAGAATCTTTTCAGAAATTATCAAGCGCTGTTTTGATTTTCAATATAACACATTACAAATGTATTTTCCTTTCATTAAAAATACGTTCTTTCAATAAACAAATACTTCGTCTTGCCTACTATTTATAGTCTGTGAATTCTGAAAGTTATAATGAAAATTCTGGGCAGCATATTAATTTAAGAAAAGAAGCATCTTCTGCGACCCTCAGGAACCATTAGGTCTGACTTATCTTAATAAGCTGTCAGCAAGGGGGTCAATGAAGTTTCAGCAAGAAGGCGAGTTGGACTCCCCGATGGTGAAAACTGATTATTTGAAAGGAAAAAAAAACTGGGTTGCTTCTTAAAAATTCTGTACTGACTTTCCTGACACTTTTTTTTAGTGCTCTTTTTCCTTTTATTTCTACAATATTGCCAACATATCTTCCTAATATTACATATAGTGAATAAGAAAGATATCACCTTTCACTGTACAATATCCCGATTATAGCACCAAATCTCGAATTTATCTTACTTCTCTTTATCCTGTTGGTTAATTAAGTTGTAATACTGGTTTGTATTTTATAAATACTTTCTCAATCATCAAAAATCTAAAAGGTTAAATTAGTAATACATCTTTCCCTACATTAACCATCCTTCACCAATGTATTTAACAGACTAAATTATATTCATTTCAGTATTGGTGTCAAAACTAAACTAGTGTTAACACCCTAGTTCTCAGCTCCAATATGAGTCAGAGGGTTTTCCATTATTCCTGTGAGCCTTGCTTCTTACCACCACAGAAAACCACAAGTTGGCTGGCATGGAGACTTCCAACCTTTCTTTGCATCCTGTCTTGGAACCAGTTCAGAACTTCTAGAGAAGTTTTCACATAATTTCTTGAGATCCCTATTTCCTATCAGTCTGTATGAAAACAGAAAGAAACCAATTTCTCTTGTTCACTCATTAGTTTGAAGAAGTGAGTCTCAACTGAGGAATACTTGAAAGTAGAGACGTTCTTACTTACCACATTTTCCTGATCACAATATGAACTGAAATCACTTGATACAATAGCAGCATACTGGAGCAGTACTTTATTGATAGTCTAGGAAAGAAAACAGTGTGAGATTTATTCAGGTAAGTATATAGGTTTGCATATATATTCTCCAGATTAATGCTCAGCCAGGTAAACTTTTCATAGGTCTTTTTCAGCTGAAAGAGTATCATAAGCAGTTAGTAAAGCTATACCCTTGCCAAAAGAAGGAGCTCAATTAAACAAGATGACAATTTGCTATATTTCTGAATGCATTTGGAGGATATTCCACATGCTGTCCACCCCCACATGGACCCATTCCATCAGAACACAATCTGCTCCATCATAAAATTCATCATTATGACATACTCAGAAGATGTAATGACCATCTTGTGGCAACCTCTTCTATGCTTGGGTACTTATTACCTAACAACCCCTCCTGCTCTTTTTTTCTGAATAAATGATGCCTTTGGCTGCACATCATCTCTCATGGTTTCTGGTCCCCCTCTACATACACACACATACACACACACACTCCCCATGCAAAAAATCTTTGTGGTGGTCATTTGCTCAATTTTCTCCAATGTTCCTAAATACCTCACTATAAGTAGTGTCAAAGTAATGATGTACACGTTCACTTAGGAAAAATAACTATTTTCAGTAATTTCTATGATGACGAATTTCCCTGAGTAATATCCAAGACCACCTCTTAAAATCTAACACTTCCGCTTCTGCTGCATCACAGTTTCTCCATCTCTACACATTTACATTTTGTTTACTACACTATTTATTAATTTATTATATGCTAAAAACATTGCCTAAACTCCTCTTTCTGTCCTTCTCACCTTAATTCTATATTTTTCTCCATTCTCCAACTATTTCAGCCTAATCATGCCCTCTGCTTCCATTAACAATGAACAATAGAAGAAAATGAGTCCACGGCGTTGAATTTTATTTCAGTTACTTAAAGACACATTGGTGAATTACAGCCTTACTGATTTTACTTACATAATTTGAATTGTCATAAGCCAAGTGTAGATGTGATTTTCTTAGAAGCGAGAAAGCAATAAAAACAGTAGAAATATGCCATCTCTTTTCATAGAGAAGCAAGGGCAAAAATGCCTTGTCCTTATTTTCTTTTTGTATAACATATTCTTCTGAATTTTCTTTGTGGCTCAAAATCAACTGGGGGAGACATTCCAAGGAGTTAAGCTGAAAAGAGATGTTTAATCTACAAAACTGAATTCACAAAATGTGACTGTGAACTTGTTTTATAGGCTTTAAAATCACAATGAAAATCTGAAATTAGGGATAATGTGCAGAGAGAAAATTGATATTTTGTGGAGGTACATAGTATTGTGATAATATGCACCCATTTAAATAGAAAGTTGGCCTTGAAATGATAAAATCTTATCAAGCACCAGACCAATAAATCCAGGATAACAGATGGTTGATCAGCCTGAAGTATCTTCCAAATGCAGCTGTTCACATTTCACTTCAGACATAATACTGAAAATTACTTTGGGACTTACCTAAGGAGCACTAATCCATTTGTACATATGAACACTACTCTCGATTTACAGTTTTGTAACAACAGGGTGAACTGTAGGATCATTGAACTATATTGCAAAAACAAACAACAAAAGCCATAATGCTAACTTCAGAAACTCGTTGCAGATTAGACGTTCTAACTCGCTCGAGGTTAAGTTGGGCAGCACAGAAACCCTCTCCCGCCCAGCGTCATGCAGGCAGCTTTGGGTGACCTGCTGAACAGCCTGCTTTTTTCTGGGAAGAAAGGGGGATACAGGCACCCATTTCTGATCATCCTCAGCGTATCTCGAAGGTCTTCTGCTTTGCTCTATTTCATAGGAAAATCTCAATCCCTGGAGTTCCTGTTTAGAGACAACTAATCCCGGGATATCCATCCACTATTCTACAAATGCCAATGGTTAGCAAGCCAGAACTGGTTACAGGGAAGGAAAAGTGCTCTGCCACATGGGATATAGTTTAAGGCTGCCTGCCCATAGGCGTTGCCAGTACACTGACTGTAACCATACCCTTTCTTTATTAGTGTAGGAAGTATACCTGAATGAAAGTGGACAATGCGTCATTTTAGGGACCACTTGCATTTCACTTTTATTTAAAAAAAAAAAAAATCATCCCCAAACATTGGTTCTTTGACTAACGTTGTTATCGTTAGGTGCTACTGAGTCGGTTCTGACTCACAGCGACCCCGTGTACAACAGAACGCAACACTGCCCGGTCCTGCGCCATGCTCACAATTGTTGTTATGCTTGAGCCCATTATTGCAGCCACTGTGTCAGTCCATCTCTTGAGGGTCTTCCTCTTTTTCACTGACCCTTTCCTTTACCAAGCCTGATGTCCTTCTCCAGGGACTGGTCCCTCCTGGTAACATGTCCAAAGTCTGTGAGACAAAGTCTCGCCATCCTTGCTTGACTAATATTAGTAAGTAGTTACTTAAGACACACTCATTAGTTCTCAAAGTGTCATCCTGAGATCAGCAGCATGCACATCACCTGGGAACTTGTTATAAATGCAAATTATCTGGTCCTATCTGAGATCTACTGAATTGTCAACGTGTGCCCCAGGAATCTGTGTTTTCACAAGCCTCCAGGTGATTCTGATGTATGCTAAAGTTTGATAACCATTATCCTAACTAATGTGTAGACACGAGGATGGCACGACTTTGACTTGTTCCCTTGGGACAGGTAATCAGGAGAGAACATTTGCTAGAAAAGGACATCATGCTTGGTAAAGTAGAGGATCATGGAAAATGAGGGAAATGCTCCATGAGATGGACAGACTCACTATCCACAACAATGGACAAAAACGTACCAACAATTACAAAGATGGCACAGGGCCAGGCGACATTTCTTTGTTGTATGTAAGGTTGCTGTGGGTCAGAGTTGACTCAGTGGCATCTAACAACAACTAACGCGCAGCAGGGTGCAGATGGCTCTTTAGACAGAACTTGATGAAGGTGGGGTACCTAGTGAGGCCTGGAATACAGGACTTACAGACGTCTGGGTTGTGAAGTCAGGTCATAATTTTATCTTTGGGGGACTCTTGGGCTTCTGAAGTGTGGGCAGTGCAGGCAGAGTGGATGACAGCCTAGGAAGGGCTGTTCCATCATGTTCTGTAATAAAACACCGTTTATTTGAGGAGATAGTCATGTGGAGTAGCGGGTTCTGTTTACAAATGAAGCAAGGGACTACCACTCAAAGAGATCAGCTGAAACAAAATGAAATTCTAATAGGATTGTGGCAGTGAAGCAAGTGCTTCCGTTGCATTGCATTTACAGGGTCAGACAGGAGGGCGACTAAGGTGTCTCTTAGCCTCAATCCGCTCTGACTTGACAGGAAGCCACTGGTAGAGCATGGAGCGGGACGGCCATCAATTACTGAAAAGAAGGCAACGGTGGTTTTCTGAGCTAATGCCACGCTTTGTAGGAGAGTGCTAAATACCCTGTTAATACTACCAGTCGCTCCGTCTAATGGGTTACTGCTGTGACCAGTAAGATAAGAACCTTGGTTCCAAATACATCTTTTCAGTCCTATTTTATGACTGAAACATTACATTATGCAGGGAACGTTACATTATCAGAGCAACACATGGAGTATAAGAAGATCATCGTATCTGTTCAGTGACAGCATTAGAAATGTGACCTCGATGCTTTATAGCACTGTATTTTAACACTTAAGATTCAGCACAAGATCCCTCATTTCTTCCACTATAGATGCCTAAGTTTGGCCTCAAGGGTAAAAATAAATGGTGATATTCTGCTCTCCAACTCACTGATTTTCGATTCATTCAGAATTCAAAGGTAGTATAGTTTAGTGATTAAAAGCATTCCATCCATATCATTACTAGTTGGGCGCCTTGTTTAAGTTATTTAAACTTCCTGAGTCTATTTCTTCATTTGGAAAGTTAGGAATAATACTCATACCCATTTCAGGGGATTGTTGGGAAGAATAAGTGAGACAATATAAAGTGATTGTTGTTGTTGCTATTAGCTGCTGTCAAGTTGATTCTAACTCATGGGGATTCGCGCCTAATAAACAACGCTCAATGAATTATTATCATTATTTTCTGTTGTTAGGATCAGGTTCCCAGAGGACAAGGAATGTATGTTTCACTTACCATAGTCTGTCCAGCACCTGGCTCCATTTATATCTGTTGATTTGTTTTTAAACAATATTAAATATATCATTCTTTTGCATCTCCTTCTAAAATTAGACTACCCACGCTTGTCAAGAGCTGCAGCGCAGCCCCCGGAATACTCACTCTTCACTTGACTGTCTCACCACTCATCACGGTCCCTGAATGTTACCGCTACACGATCTGAGGCTTTTCATTCGGTAATTTATTCGATCTTACGGACCTTTAGTAAGAATACTGTATTTTACACAAACAACACGCACCTTCTATGTTTGTTTGCCAGCCTGAGACCTCCCCCCACCAGGTATTTTCATAAGCACCGGTATGCCAATTTTTTTTTTTTTTAATTACATGTTGCCGTTGGGAGGGAAAAAAAAAAAAAGCATAGGGTGCTTATGAAAATATCTCCTGGGGGAGGGCACGGCTGGCAAACAAATGTAGAAGGCACACGTTATATGCCTCACACTACCTTAAATCATCCTTCTAAATTTAACGTTAGAATACTAAACCTTCTAAACTGTCTGCAGATAATACTAATATGTCTCATCTCAGGGGATGGTTTAAATCAATGTACAGTCCCAGAAAAAGCACGTGATTTCAGTATATTTTGATACAAGGATCCCAATCCCAAAAAAGGGTAGAGTTTTTGAGACTGATGCTCACATCTGATGAAACAAAAACGGAATCAGTCTGCAGTTACTGTGAGAGAGCTAATTATTTAATCACAAAGTCCCATTTTTATCCCCTTTGTTAATGAAATTACAAATTATAGATAAAAGGCAGACACTGGTAAAATTAATTTGAATGATGTTTACTTATTTTTATATTTACGTACTTTATTCATGTTTTTGTTTTTTATTTTGCATTGTAAGCCACTGAGAAAGATAAAATAGAGAAGCTGGCATGCTTTTTAAAAAATCACTCCAATAAAATAGAATTTCAGTGAAAATTATCGATTTTTATTTTCCTAGAAAATGTTTCTCATTGTTCTTACATTATTTTCTTGTAATAATAATAATAGGAGAGTATTGAATTTTCATGTATTAAAATCGTTTTACTTAATTGAATTTTTTTTTTAACTGTGCCAGTAAACACACACATGTCCGCAGTGACATATGGAGCCTAATTTGTTTCTTCTTGCTTCAGAGAATGTGTTTTCCTGGGTGGGACTCTAACATGACCGTCTTTGTGACCTCCTGCCCTTTTATACAAGGAGCTGTGTGGTGCAGTGGGTAAGTGCTTGGCTGCTATTCCAGAGGGTCAGCGGTTCAAACCCACCAGCTGTTTCATGGGAGAAAGATGTGGCAGTCTGCTTCCCTAAAGATTACAGACTTCGAAACCCTATGGGGCTGTTCTACTCTGTCCTATAGGTCGCTATGGGTTAGAACCGACTCAATGGGATGTTTTTTTTTTTTTCACCCTTTTATACTTCCTTCCAGTCCATTCAGCTATACCCTCACCAGTCTCAACATGCCTAGGTTCAGCTTGCACAGCTGGAGAAAGGTCAGAGCTACTAACGGGTGGAGGGTGGGCTGGAGCCCAGGTCTCAGGAAACTTGTTCAGCATTTTTGCTGCTCTCTCTCTACTTCCACGTTTCCTACCTCACATAACGTGCTGCCCAAACACTCTGAGCGTGGATTCTAGTTGCTTTTCTAATATTGTGTGCGATTATAATAGTATGTTACTAAATATATTAATTGTGATTTTTTAATTCTCATGTGAACCTGCTTCCACTACAAGTCCTACAGAATTTCAAGAATAGCACATGACACACTTTTCCAAATACTATCCCTAATGACCTCATTTCATTCTTTTCTTGGCAGTCACCCAAAACCCAGCAGCAAGTCAAGAAAAGACTTAGAGAATTTTTAGAACAATTCTCCATCAGAATTTACTGCAGATTTCACCATAGTGGGAAATTGGAATCAAGAAAGCCCCCTCTAGGAATGATCCAAATAGACGAACTTTAGTTATGATCTTAAAAAAGTGGTTAGTTATTTTAGTCTCTCTAATTAACAGATATAAAGACCGGAGTTCAAAATATTCCATGGCAGATAAATATCGTAATACAGTTTAACTGACAGCTTATCTGCCTTAAAAACCTTCACAGGCTTCTCGTTTTCTACTAACTAAATTCAGCCACTTTGCCTGTTCTTCAAAGCTATTTCCAAGCCAGCTCCATGAATCGCATGCTCTCTCCTCACTGGGAGCTCTAAGGGTACAAACAGTCAGCTACAGGGTGATGGAGGGCTCCCTGCAGAGTCACCCACACTGTATCTGATGAGGTTCCAGGAGGAAATGAACCTCGCCGGGTTAAACCAGTGAGATTTCTGGGTTTACTTGTTACTGCAGCATGCACTATCCCATCACAGTTGTTAATAAAGATGCCATCTCCTACAAGAAGCCTTTCCCATCCCATCTATCAGTGAAACAGACGTAAACTTCTCTAAGAACCAGGGTCAATGGTGGGGACAGGCCCAGGCCTCCCATTTGAAAAGGACCTCAAACTTTGCCTTTTCATAATGATGCCAAACAAAGTTCTATGCAGTCATTGTGTTTCTGTGATTAAAAATGGTAGCATGTTAAATGTGTACATTTTAAATATAACAATATTTTTGTAACTAGGTTTTGGCAGCATTTCCGTATGTATATACATTACTGCTAACCCAAAGGTGGGAGGTTCAAAACCACCAGGGGCTCTGCGGGAGAGAGATGTGGCAGTCTGCGTCCATAAACATCTACAGCCTTGGAAATCCTATGGTGGTGGCTATGAGTCGGAATTGACTTGATGACACTGGGTTTTTGAATACATATATAATAAATATAAATAGAACATAAATATACATATAAATGAATATATAATATATACATATAAACATAAATATATATGTGTATATATACATATCGAGTGTGTGTGTGTGTGTGTGTGTGTGTGTGTGTTTGTGTGTGCGCCTTTTCCAACCTCTATGATGCCCTGATTACAGCATTTGATTTTGTCATAGATGTTTACAGGTTTGGCCCACCCAAAATTTAACCTCCGTAAGTTTTCTGAGGTCAGAGATTATGCTTACTCGTGACTATATTCCTTGAATTGGCTAGTAAAGCACTCAAGTTACGCAGTCCGTAAGCATTTGTTGAATGAGCAGCTGAGACCTCAGCCATCATACAGTTCACAGAGCCAGGCTTATCCTATGGTCTGTCAGACGTAAAACCCATTGTCGTCGACTTAATTCCAGCTCGTGGTGACCCCTTGTGTGTCTGAGTAGAACTGTGCTCCGTAAGACTTTCAATGGCTGATTTTTTGGAAATAGATCACCAGACCTTTCTTCCAAGGCACCTCTGGGTGGATTTGAATCGCCAGCCTTTCAGTTAGTAGCCGAGTGGAGATGGTTGGCAGCACTTAGGGCTGTGTAAAATACTATGTTTATCGTGTCACTACCTTGCTTAAAAATCTCCAAACGTTCAGTGTTTTTCTAAATTGCCCAAGAGATTAAGTCTAAACTTCTCAACCTGGACCCATCTTCACTCTCCCAACCTTCCCTACCACTTCACAGGTCTTTCCGCTGCCAAAGAGGCTGTTTCTCACGGCCCTGCACAGGTCATGCTCACTTTTCACCATCCCTTTGTTCCTGTGGTCCCCTGGCTTAGGATACTTCTCTCATGTCTCCTTTTTAGGCTCTTTCAGCCCGCTTTTCCCACAAAGCCTCTCTGTTTCAGCTGCTTTCCCTCCTCTCAGTTACTGTTGATCCCACTATGCGTAAGGCTGAATCCCTCTTGATGTCATTTTAAATTAGTTGATATCATGTGATCTTGATTAGTGTATAGGATATTTTAATAAATAATTTGAAGGGCCAAAACTGCATCTTTAATTTCTCATATTTTCCCTGAACAGAGAAGTAAGCGCATAGCAAGCCTTGTTCGATTCTAAGAGGGGGAAGAGGCCGTGAGACTCATCTGGTTGATCAAGATTCATCTGTCAAAGCAAAAACCAAGTTTATGAAAATCTAGTAAACTGCTCAGATTCATACTGCAAGTGAACAGCCAATTTGAAATCAGAACTCAGTTTTCGTGACCCCAAGTCCAGCACTTCTTACCATACTATAGTGTCTGTTTTAAAAAAATACATGCCAATTTGAATACGAAATGCCGAGGCTTACTTTCAACTAGAAAGCACCACATTGAAACAGAAATAATTTGACGATCCATGGTAATCTCTTCAATTGCAAATGGCTGAGTCATTTGTGTGAATAACAAATAGGTTTCTAAGATGACAAATCCACATTAAAGAAACGGGAAGTCCAGATGACAACCCTGTAAACAACTGAAGCTATTATCACTAGAATAAGAAATTAAAGTTGGGTCATGGTTTCAGAGAAGACAAACCACAGCATTTTTCAGATTCTGGGCAGGAAATGACAACATGCCACAGTCCCAGAGAAGAAGGGATTCATTTCTCTTAACTTACCTTTGCGAATCTCCTCATTAAGTGAGATAACGCTTCAGGATTTGGGCATTCCAGTTTCTTGATAATCTCAAAACTCTGATTAAGCTGAGCAAACACATCAACCACAGAGCAAGAGAAGAGGGCATGATCAGACGTCTGCTGGAACTGAGGCGAGAGATGAAATCATCCCAGTAAGCACGTTAGAGGGGCATGGAGAGAATCTTCATTATTTCACATAAACGACTAACTCACGTATCATGTACCTTCATTTCCCTGTAAAACAATGCCTACCTACTTCAAAATCATTCATCACCTTTTCCAGAAAGTGTAGTGGAACTAATGTCACGGGGGTAGGCTTCTGCTAGTTGGTTTCTCCATTGCTGAATTGAGAGACTGATTCTTTCCCGTTTCACATTTCCCACAGGCCTTAGGATAGTTTAACGAACCAGTTGTGGTTCAAGGTTTTGACCGTTTCTCCAGGAGGGCTGGGAGGGTATCTGCTCGTAATCTAGAAACCCTGGAAAGGTTCAAGGACACCAACAAATTTTGTACAAGCCTAGGCTAACTTGCAGATTCAGACCCATTCAAGAAGTAAAGAAGTATTTTGGAGCAAAAGGGGTGACTGATTTTTCTTAATTTAAGCAGTTCCCTAGGGTTCTAACCAGCTCTTTAAAATGGTGTTTTGAATTTATTTTGGCTATTGGAGAGTTAAAAAAAAAAAAAAAAAAAGCCTAATTAATAACAATGAGCCTAACAATTCCCATTAGCTTAAAACTGAGCAGTATAAATGACTCTCAAGAATAACCAGTATAAATGAATCTGAGAATAATCTTAAAGTAATTTAAACTCACTCCATCTTTTTTGTCTCTTCCCAGTGCTCCACGAAGGAACTCCACGGACACATCTTCATTTTCATCTAGCCACTGCATGACAAAAGGTTCAAACCACCTAAAAATAATTAATAATGTTACTGCCACAAAAGTATCATTTGCACATAATTAACAGTGAATGTTTTTAATCACTTAGTGCCTACTTTTTTTTTTTTTTTGCCTGTATTCCATACACGGGCAAATTAGTAATAAGGAACTGCATGCAGAATATTGGGTTCATCTCTCTATAGCTCTTCTGTTCTTTAGAGTCTTGGCACCACAAATCTAAGTAGCCTTGGTAGACCGGAACACCAATATTTGTTTCTCCAGCTCAGGGAGATTGCCAGGAGCTCCAGGTACTGCTCCTGTTTAGCCTCTGTGCCCTGGGTGGCAGGTTAGCAAATGCACCAGGGGAAAATGAGGACAGATGTAGAGCTCACGTCAATGCAGTTCTCCTTCCTCAGGGACATTCGCTGGTCCATTCCTGGATGCCTTGGGTGCTCTTTGATGTCTTCAGACTGCTGTACCGTTTTTCATTTGGTTCAGCTTGTATAATTGCTCTTCAGTGGGTGTGTTAGTCTGATGCAAGCCACTTTGATAGAGCCAGAAGCAGAAGTCTCTGGGAAAAGCTCCTGCTCTTTACCTCCTTATTCCCAATTACTAACACCACCAACTGCTTAGGCACACATACTTCATGGTTAACTCTTCCCTCTTTCTTTTGTGCCTTATCTATTCAGTTCAAAAATCCTGTCCATGCTATCTTCAAAATTTCTCTCCCACACATCTCCACCCTTTGCATTACCACTGTAGTCACTCTACATGAACTATTACTATAGCCTTTAAGCTTGCCCCAATATTCCATTCCATCTTACATACTTCTGTGCGAAAAGGTATACGTAAGGGCAGATCCAATCGCATCGTTACATTGCTCATCGTCTTCTGAAGTTTTTCCTTGCTCCCCATTCTCTGCCTCCTAAACCCCCCACGATGCCTGATGAATGTGATTCCAGTTTCACATGTTCAGTTATAATAATCTAGTTCAAATCTACTCACACTATGTTACTTTCTACTTATTGTGTAAACAGACCATCTAGCCCATTGGAATGATCTTATACCCCAATGATCATAGCCCATATATGCCTACTTCCATAATTTTGTTTATATATTTCCTGCCCATCTTAATGGGCCATAATCTGACCAAACTGTCTATGTCTACATCAAATGCTACCTCATCTATAAATATTGTGTGGAGTCTTTCTTATGTGAAATCCTACTGAACTTAGCTTGTGCTCCTTGAACTAGCACTTATTTCATTATACATTGCTTTATCATGAATTTTGTTCTGAAATACCTACTAGAGTATAAGCTCCTTTCAGGGTAAAGTCTGTAATTTACTAATATCCTGCAGGGCCTGGCACAGTACCTGGCACACAGAAGCCCCCCTCCATAGAATAAAATAGAATTATGATAAAAATCAAATGCAGAATATTACAAGTATGATTGTATGATTACAAGTGTGTTTGATAGAGGCATGCTTATAAAAAGTACCTGTTTAATTATTTCTATTTTAAAGATATGAATTTCTAAGACATGTTTCAGTCTGAATTAAAAGGAAACTTGGATTATATAAATCAAAACACAAGCACACTCATTTTCCCAACAAATTCTGAGTTCTAGTACTTTTATAGGGAAATAATGTCATCATATTGGCCTTATCCTATTATGTATTTCTTTCTTCTTGAGTTGAATATCTAAGTAAGAGACACTTGAAAAATGTAAAAGAATACAATGAAATATGGTTCTCAAAGACATGCAAATCTTTTAGTGTTAATTTTATAACAGAAACGTCTCCATTCAAAAGAAGAGTATGTGAAAAGATTTTAGGGCTGCATCACTCAGGTGTAATTTTACAGGACTGTGAATTTAGAACACTTGAGGACGACAATCACTACTTACAGGGAGTATTTAGGAACGGCATCCTTGAAGGCAGGAAGTTCTCGCACATATTCATTATAAAACCATTTCACCTTGAAATGCAAATTCATATAATCGGTGCTCTTGCATAACCGCTGATTTTCATGTTCTATAACAGATAAAATCAGACATTTAATAAAGTTTGATTTGCCAACAATGCTGCTGAGTTCCAATCTACTTTTATTATTAATATTTCAAAAAGGAAGAAAGCAGTTTATTTGAAGTAAAGACAAAGTGAATTGTTAGGGATACGTCTGAAATTTTACAAAAACGCAGAAAAAAAATCATAGGTCAAGCAGTAATGTGAAATAATTTGAATTGTCTAATATATCTTACTGAGAAAGGTGATACTTCTGATGCAGTCAACGAGTACTAGTGTGATAATAGTTTCCTATTTATCTGCAAGATTTCATATTTTGACTATTTGTAGCCTGATGCAAAGTGCCAGAAAGAATTAAAACTCTAAGCATGAATATTATTAAAACTCTAAGCATGAATGAAATATGAATCACAGTAGAAGCCATAATCACAGATTATACTGGAAATGTGACTGAGTAGGTCACATTTCTAGCCTGTGTATTTAACACCTAAAGAATTAAGATAGTTGAAGAGGAGAAAATAGATCTAATGTCTAAGCCAGATGAGTTCTTCTTCACCTTTTAAGTTCAGCTAAAATTATTTTGCACCCTGTAGCTTTCTTTTTTGACATTTCTTTGGCAGGATTTACTAATATATGGCATTTTTTCCCCCTCTGTTGCTCAAAACGTATAGTTTAAAACTATGTAGTGTGATTTGGATATATTGTACTAGGGAAGTGAGATAATAATGGTACTGAACATATTTGTCTCTGCTTTTTTCTTCCAATATTAATGTCTCGGGCAATTTTGGCTACAAGTGTAAAAACTACCAAGCCCAAAACATCGCGTCTATATTCAGGTTGAAGATGTCCTCTGAAAAGCTCTGGCTGAGGTCTATAGTCTCCTGTAAGTTAAAGGCTTTGACGTGAAGAATACAATCCTATACTTTAAATTCCAGGCTAAATTCTGAAAATACTAACTGAAACAATTAGATCATTATAAACAAAGTGAGGGCGTTCCTGCTTTCCGAGACCTGACAGGGAGGGACTTAAATTCTAACAGTAAAATAACACAGAAGGGAACAACATCAACCACAAATCAAACATTTTCAAATGATACAAACAGTGATTCATTTAAGACAATTCGTAGAACCAAGCAAGAGAGAGAGAGAAAGAGGGAGAGACAGGACACGCACACACACGCGCGCGCGCACGCACACACACATTTGTGCTCTTGCCTTTGCAAATGTCAGGGGAGAGCCTGACTTATGTTACCTTGTTTAAGAGTATTTGCACATTCACAAAACCCTGAAGGGAAGCTTAATCTAGTTCCATCTTATAACGAAAGTGTTTACTGAGTATGTATCTTACGCCAGGTACTGTCTGCGGCGCTGGGTATGTAAAAGTGAAGGACCCACAACCCTTGGTCTGAAGTGTGAAGAGCCTGGGGAAGAAGGATGACGTACAGCAGTCACTTTCAGTACAATATGGCAAATGCCACGACCTGCTACGTTCCGAATGGTGTGATCTCATCTTGGCGCTTTACGTCAGCAATTAAATAGAAAAATGATTTGCCGATAGTAGTTTTTAGGGCACAGGATGGAATTCACACCAGAAGAAACATAGCGTAAAACAGGGCTTCTTTTTCTTACTTATAAAGAAAGCTAAGATACATGTGTCTCTTTTGTGAAATTAGATACATATCTTCCCAATGAAGGCCTTGGGCTTTTTTACTTCTCTCCAACCATGTTTTTGGTGGAGTGGTTAAGAGCTCAGCAGCTAACCAAAAGCTTAGCAGTTCAAATCCACCAGCCACTCCTTGGAAACCCTATGGGGCAGTCCTGCTCTGTCCTATAGGGTTGTTATGAGTCACAATCGACTTGATGACAACGGGTTTATTCATATTTTTAAACGTTTTGGTAGTGAACTTGGGTGAAAAGCCATCTTGAAACCTTCCATTTATGCTGTGCAGTAAAAGGAAAGGGCCCACCAGCTTCTGCCCACCCCTCACAAGGCAGTATGGTCTTTGCAGGTAAAATCCACCTGTGGGAAGTGTTCCGGTCAGTGTCTCAGCCAGGGCCTTCAGTCTATTTGCTTAACCATTTGTACTCCAATTCTCAATAATCTCAGAAGTCTTTCCCTTCTCTTATTTGAGTGATCTGCTCAGAACTTAGGAACATTACCAAACCCATTTCTCTGGGTTCTGCAAGCTCCCTATGTGTCCACATTCCCTTCATTCCTGCTATTCTCACTGGTTCCAGGAAAGAAACCCTCCTTCTATATGTCCGATTCACTTCCCCTACTCCCCTACTTCCCAAATCTCCCCTTTGAGGATAGGTATGGGAAAGGAGGTAAGGAAGATAACCATTCTCTTTCTCAAAGATGAAAATTCTCTTTCTAGAAGATGAAAATTCTCTTTCTAAAAGATGAAACCTGTTTTTGCTCTAAAGACCACCTTCTCCAGTTCCTAACAATGTATCTAATGTAATAATCCAAATTATCAGGGGTTTTAGCAGCTCCTGTGCTGGAAAAAAACTTATAAGAATTACTAATGATTTCCTGCTTACAGAATTGCTTGCAAACCAGTAGGAATTAGTTTTTATCCCTTTCAGCGGCGTATCTCTCATGCACTATCAACTGCTCTCTGTGGACAGAATCAGGAGACCAGTACCATCTCTTTTCATTTTCTTCAAAATCAGCAGGAGAGTCATTGACATCTTTACATGCAAAACGCACTTCAGCTGATCTAGCAAGAGGTTTTGAGTTTATTGAGTTTAGTGGGGGATACAGGTCTGATCTGTAGGAAAGCGAAAATGAAATGGAAAGGCTGTGCACTGGTATAATGAGACCCACTGGTGATATTTGTCCTTAAGCAGAGAATAACAAACATAATTTAGACATTTTTGTAATGACTTACGGTAATCATCACGAACCTCAGTATTCGAGGCAGACTTAACTAGTTGCCTATCAAACCATGTCCTTTCCCCCCAGGCACACAACCAGACTACACTTTCCAGGCTTTCTTGAAATTAGATGTGGCCACGTGATGGAGTTTCGTGCAGAAGTCATGTGTGCTATTTCCACTCTGTCCCCTAAAACACCTCCTGTGTATCTCCTATGCTATCTCTTCCTTCATCTGCTGACCAGATGCAGAAAATCCAACCGAGGATTCCAAGCATTACGGGGATGTAACTTTGACATGTATAAGTGAGAACTAGCAAACTCGTATTGCAGACATCGTTATGCAGTCTGGCTACACAATATTTTGTTGCGTCACAACAAGGTTTTCAAAGATTTAGGCCAACTTATTACTTAGCCTCCGAACTACTCTACTTTCTAACTTCCTGTCTCTGCTTTTTTGTTTCGTAAGCACACCATATACGTGTATATGCATACACATGCATTCAGGCTGCCCCTGTTTTTTGGAGGTATATCAGTGCAAGTACTGCTAGAAGATCCCATTCTGCTTCTGATTTGTGAATTGATACACCATCACATAGGAAACCAATTCATCAGACTTGGTAAATTGGTGTTAAGATAAAAACATACAGACTCTGAATCGTCATAGAAGTAAAACACAGGCTTTGTGGATGGACTAATATCACTTTTGACCTCCTTGTCAGTCTTGTTTCATACTTACGTGCTCTCAACTATATTTAGAGTAGTTATTATTACCACTTAAGTAATTCTATGATAAGTGACCTGTTGTTCCAAAATTCATATGCCTGCTTTTCTCATGTCTCTATATAACCAAAACCAAACCAAACCCATTGCCATCAAGTTCATTCCGACTCATAGCAACACCGTAGGACAGAGTAGAACTGTCCCACGATGTTTTCAAGGCTGTAAATCTTTACAGAAGCAGACTGCCACATCTTTCTCCCACAGATTGGCTGGTGGGTTTGAACCGCTGACCTTTCAATTAGCAGCTAAGCCCTTAACAACTGTGCCACCAGGGTTCCTTTGTCTCTATGTAGTCCTCCTATAATGAGTAATTATATATTATACCAGAGATATTTCAAATGAATAAATTATATCCCAACTACCACCTAACCAAATATCAATTCAAAAATATAGTCCAAGTTACCTTTATTTCTACTCCAATTACCTTCTTCTTGGTGGTAAACTAGGTTGATAAAATGCATTTATCTTACATGATGTGAATTACTCTTCTAGAATTTATTTAGCCGTCAATCCTCCTACATTTTTAATTTTGGCAGCAAAGATTCAAATAGGTCACTACATTTACAAAATAAAACATTTAATTAGTTCTCCAAACTGCAGTATAATAATTTTGTACAAGATTTAATCTTTGAATTTCAATGCAAAATATATTTTACCAACAGAATAAAAATGCTTCATTAAAAACGTACAAGCAAAAAGCGTGGCAATTTACAATTGGAAGAGCATAGTCAATGTCACTGAACTGTGCATGTAGAAATTTTTGAAATGGTGTATCTTTGGCTATGTGTATTTTCACCAAAAAAAAAAAGGTTGAGAAGTTAGAGGGTTGATATGTTGTGGGGTTGTTAACCAATGTCATAAAACAACATGTATACTACTGTTTCATGAGAAACTATTTGTTCTGTAAGCCTTCCCCTGAAGTACAATTAAAAAAAAAAAAAAGCGTGGCAGTTTAGAAGAATATGACTGTTTTCCTTAAATGGTGTTTACCAGCATTTACTTGGAAATGATATATTTTCTTCTGAAAGTCAGTATTTACGCATGAGGTTTTATGCCTAATGAGAAATGTACAATTATGTATTAGTTTACACACAATATCTAATTATGTATTCGGTATCCAATCTCAGGCTTATGGAAAATTTGCTGTAATCATTACAGTGTCATTATCCAGTTCTTAATTTGTGACATCATTTTATTGCATAAATGCGCTGCTTTATCCTGCAGTTGGTAGCACACAGTTTAGTTAGGACTATCTAAGTGTAGTCCTAAGAAAGAGGCATTCGGTTGAACCGAACAAGAGGATACTACATGGTTTAAAATCAAGCGAGGTGTGTGTCAGGGTTGTATCC